CAATAAAGACTTGAGAGATGAGCTGATACCAAGGGCTCAAATAGAAAGAAAATGTTTGGGAAATGTTGATGGCAACATATGCACAAGTGTGCTTAATACAATTGAATGATGGATTGTTGTAAGATTTGTAAGAGACTCCCCAATAAGATTTTTAATAATAATACATTTTTAAAAGACTTGTAAGTGGAAAATGTGAAGTTTTTGAAAGACACCAATGGTATTGACAGGGCATTAGTTCCAGGGGGCCCTCCAATACCAAAATCCACAGGTGTTCAAGTTCCTTACATAACATGGCATAGAATTTTCACACAACCTATGCACATTCTCCCATGTATTTTAAATCCCCTCAAGATGAATTATAGTACTCAATACAATGTAAACACTACTTTACCCTCCCTTGTTGCCTTTCAGGGATTGCTTTGACCTTAATTCAAAGCACTTAATTGACTTTTAAATCCCTTACCCCACCCAGAATATTTTCGATCCACACTGGTTGAATTCATGAATGTGGAACCAGAGATACGGGGAGGCAACTGTATTAGGAATTAAGAGGTAAAATGAATTACAAGGAAAAGAAACAAGAACAGAAGTAAACTCTTACACAGATATCACAGAGGGAGTTTAGAGAATAGCAAAGACTAAATGCCACCAGAGAGAAAAGGCAAGCTACCTAAATAAATATGTATGTGTGTGCCTACACCCACATCTTTCCAAAAACTGAAATAGCACAAGCTTGGATGCACATCAAAGGGTAAGTAAAAGTAAGTGTGATTCTCAAAAGCCATAGCTGGCTAAAACGGCCATCTAGGAAAAAGGCAAAAGGAAGCAGCAGTTTGTGAAGTCTTTTCAGACAAACAAGACTATACAGCCTTCAGCATCAAAGGCTGTCACTGAAGGGGCGTCCAAGGGCATATTTCAGAAAGAGGCTACCTGAGCCCACCAAGAAGGCGGTGCAAAAATGAGTGGGGAGTAATGCAACTGCTGAAAGCCAAGAAGGCAGAGAAATCTTACAATACACATCGTTACACCTTGTCTAGAACACAATTATATGTAGAAGGAGCAGCAGAAAGATGTAAGTGAATAATAAGCACAAAATTCAGGACCAGGAAGACAAAGAAAACACTAAAATCAAAGGTACATCAGGAGTCCTGAACTGCATTCATAATACATTTGATACAGTGGGCATAGAGTATAGGGACATGCATGAAAATATCCTCAACCATCTTCATGTTTCAAATATTCCATCACCAAAAAGTTACCAAAAACGACAAAGCACTATGCTAATACAGGAAAAACATGAGAGGAGGAATCCTGTGGTTTACTTTCAAGAAAATAACCTTTATAACTACGCGTGTCTTTATATTACTTACAAGGACTCATTTAAAGCAGGATGCTGCTTAAAAAAAACCCAACTCTTTGAAATGAGCATGTTTCAAAGAGGGTTACCAAATAAAACGGTAACCCAGTTCCAGTTCAATAATTAGTCTGCAATATTGTACTGAGAATTTCACTGGCTTTGTTTTTAATGTTTACCTCACAGCTCCGGAGCCATTCCAAACTGCTGGGCACTGTGAGCAATATGGCCACTCTCTTGACTCTAATCTGTTATCAATGGCATCCTAGGGAAGAAAGAGTTGACACCATTAAGAAAATGTTGTAAAAGGGAATAACAAGTGATCTAAAATCAATGGCAAGAAGGGCAGAGGAGGCCTGGGGGGGCTTGAGCAAAGGCAATGTAGCTGAGAGGAATTACTGCAACCCGAATGAAGGCTGAACATGATAGTGGGACAAGAGGAAAGTAAAAGGAAGTAGAGGAAGGAACCAGGAGGCAAAGGACATTGATAGAGGTCTTAACACAGGCGTGTACATATGTAAATATATTTATACAATGACAGGAAAACAGATCTATGTACATATATTTATATGTTAAGTATTAAGACAGTAGACAGACATTGGGCTTCTACTCAAATACTCCTTCAATGCAAGAATACTTTGTTCTAATAATCCGGCATTCTGTGATGTTCACCTTCCCAACACCATTGCTGAAGACAAAATGGGTGCTTAAGCAAATGTGGTGCCTGGTTATCAAAAGATATAGTGTCTGCGGTCTTAAAGGCTTGAAGATAAACAAGCAACCATCTAGCTCAGAAGCAACAAAGCCCACATGGAAGAAAAGCACACCAGTCTGTGTGATCATGAGGTGTGGATGGGATCAAGTATCAGGCATCAAAGACCCAGAACAAAAAATAATATTATGTGAATGAGGGGGAGGGTGGAGGGGATATCCAAAGCCCCTCTATAGACAATTAGACATCCTCATACAGAAGGGTCACAAAGGAAGAGACGAGCCAGTCAGGGTGCAGTATAGCACTGATGAAACATACAACTTTCCTCTAGTTCTTTAATGCTTCCCCACCACCAACACCCCCACCCCACTATCATGACCCCAATTCTACCTTACAAATCTGGCTAAACCAGAGCATGTGTACTGGTACAGATAAGAGCTGGAAACACAAGGAATCCAGCACAGATAAACCCCTCAGGACCAATAATGAGAGTAGTGATACCAGGAGGGTAAGGGGAAGGTGGGGGGAGAAAAGGGGAAGTGATTCCAATGATCTACATATAACCTCCTCCCAGGGGGATGGACAACAGAAAAGTGGGTGAAGGGCGATGTCAGACAGAGTAAGATATGACAAAATAATAATAATTTATAAATTATCAAGGGTTCATGAAGAAGTGGGGAGCGGGGAGGAAGGGGAAAAATGAGGAGCTGATATCAAGGGCTCAAGTAGAAAGAAAATGTTTTGAGAATGACGATGGCAACAAATGTACAAATGTGCTTGACACAATGGATGGATGTATGGATTGTGGGAAGAGCTGTAAGAGCCCCCAATAAAACGATTTAAAAAAAAGAGAAAAAGAAAATGTTGTAAATTCTACGACATTTTCTTCTGTTTGTTTCACAAAAAGGTTAAAGCTTCTGTTTACCTTTGGGGAACAAAGGAGATATGCATGTCTAACCAAAGATCAGTCCTCAATCTGCAGCTCAGAATCTTACTTGCTCTCCAATTAATGTAATCATCTACTTACTAAAGCAGTCTGTAATGCATGCCTACATTCCCCTTTGGTGGACCACAACCCTGGGAGGGGGAGGATTCTCGGCTCACCATCAGGTCTCTGACCACAAAGTGGGTGGGATTTCTGAATACATGGTCGCCCTGACGTAACTCTTGGCAACTTGGAGCCCAGGCCTGGGCACCTATAAGCAGTGGGTTCCCACATAGCACATGTACATCTGGTCTGGAAATACTGAAGACCACCTAAGAGATGTGTGGAATTTTCTTTTGCATCTGAAAATTTTCCTTTTGAAAAAATGTATGTGAATATAAACATATGAATATGCATTGTACATAGATTGTGACATTTTATTGTAATGAATTAACTTTGAAAGTTAGTAGAAATACATTATCTTCCAATTCCATCAACTTTTTGAAGCTCCTTTGCATAATTTATAAATAGCTGTCATATACCAGAAGTTCATTCTCTAATTTTTATTGGTGGGTGTGTGTAACTTAAAAGATCATGGCTCAAATAAAAAAAACACTTTGAAATTATTTTTATGTCGTTTAAAATTATATAAATGCCATTGGAAGACTGGGGAAAAAAAGATCATGGCTCTATAGGATGATGGTCCAAATGGCATTAACAAATGGCGTTAACAAGTGACTCCGTAATATTTCAGGGAGACCACAAGAAAGAAATCCTGAAGTCCTAAGTTTCCCGAGTCTAATGCAGATTTTCTGAGAATAGCAGACAAATCCTTATTAACAGGTTTTTAAAAGTCAATTCTTATTTAAAAATACTAGCCAAGAAAAACTACTTCTACCTTAATGTAGGAAAGTAAAAATATCTTAGGTGATGGAAAACAGAGTCTAGATTCTTTACATTTTTTAAATCTATAATTCTGCATGTCCGAATAGTATTCATTTTTTTTTTCTTCAGTGAGTGAGGCAGTGAGTGAGTGTGAGTGAGTCAGTGAGAGTGAGGTAGTGAGTGAGTGTGAGTGAGTGAGAGAGTGAGG